AAGCACACTTCTGAGTGTGTCCAGGTGGGCAGACTGAACCCTCTGAAGCTGAGAGCCAAAGATAACCTTTGCCCCTGTCAATGTGCATGTTGGATATTTCGTACCAGTAACAGAAAGTGGGCTAATCCAGTCCCTGTCCCGGGAAACAGGCCACATCCAACTCTGCAAGCAGAGTCCCTAGGAGACAGCACGAGCCTCTCTTCAGGCTCGTGATGAGTTCCGTAAGCTCGTTCTTCATATAGGACAGACAGAACCTCTGCGCTGAGCAGCCTCATGTGTCAATGATTGACAGCTGCTCCTCCTTCCACGGGAGCCTCAGAGCATTATGGATCCAACCTGGCTCTTCATCCAACATGCTGTGAGGCCCTCAGCAGGTCTCTGCCCATCTCTGCCTGTCCTCTCTCCTTTTATATCCCGAGAGCAGGGACAAACCCTTTCGTACTCTATTTGTCCCCAGGGAGTTTGCTCTGTAAGTCAAGCAGAGAAGAGGCCACCCTGCCCTCCCAGGGGGAGAAGTGCAGCTGTTAGGTCCGTGCCAGCAGCAGGGTGTGCCGGACCGTGCTGGGCAGGGCTGGCTGCCTGGGAGGGGCTGGCGTGCCCCGGGTCCTGCTGCCTGTTGGGATCAAGCGAGACAGGCAGCCTCCTCAGTGCCTTTGGCCACAGTGCAATGCACAGTGGACAGACCATCAGGATCGGTAGCCAAGGGTGGAGCCTGGCGAGGCCCCGGGGTGGTGGTCAGTGAATTCCAGACCACATGCAGGTGGACAGAGTGGAGGACACACAGGCCGTGGGATGCCTGATCTGTCTGGGGAGGAGCTGTTGCTACAGGGATGGGAGCAGGCTGCAGGCCAGGTTCCGTTTGTCTCTTCTGCAGGCTGTTGTATTTCCATCTTGAGGCCAGGCCCTCTTCAGATGCACCTCCAGCCACAGGGCAGATGTGTTTTCTTCTGTCCTTCTTCTCTTGAGGGCCCATCCTGTGTGACTGCCTATTAATTTCTATCTAACTTAGTCGTCTATTATAGTCCTCCCCGAAGAGGTACCCCTACTGTCACTGTGGGGCTGGAGGGGTGATTGTCACAGTTGGAGTCAGGGACACTCCTGCGAGTCTGTCTAGAGGCCCCTGTAGACGCCAGGCAGTCTCCCTTGGTATGGGTATGGCTTTAGGTCTGGGGGAGACAAACCCAAGAACAGTCAAGTCTGTGTGATCCATATAACAAGATCCACAGGACTATGACCAACACGGCCAACAAATGTTTGCACCAGGAAGACCCAGTGATGGCTGCTCTCGAGGAGCGGAGGAAGAGGTCCACGGAGCTTTGTGGACACTTGTCACACAGCTGTACAAATCCCTGTGCATCTCCCTTATCTCCTCAGGGCAACCAGGGCCACAAATTGGTTCTGCAGAACCAATAAGCACCATTGAGGGCTCCCCATCTAATCTTGGGGTGACTAACCTAGTCTTTTGCAAACCAGTTTTCAGCCTATAAATTGTGGCGTATGGGCATTGATGGAGCGTGTCCACCCCAAGGGTTCAGTGGGAGGCCAATGCGAGCAAGAGACATTTCTTTGCTCCCAACCTAAGGGGGCAACCTGCCTACTAAGGCACCCTGCAGCAGGAAGCAGTGTAATCACTCAGCATTTGAAAGTAGGTGTCGTGATGGCTGTGACTCTTGGCTCCTGTGACAACTCCCTTACTTGTAGTTATAGAAGTTATAATAGAGCCCATAGAGAGTGGTCTTTTCAGAAAAAATTCAGTTACGTCCAGATTCACGAATGGTAGGCGTCATAGGCCACTCACTTACCTTGTAATGAAGGACTGTGTTATGAACTTGCTTTCTCCAGTGTAGCCTTGTAGCATATTCCAATTATCTCCTTGAAATGGAGGCACCCACCAGAAGAATCCTAGTGTGTTTTACAAGGGGAGCAGACCATCCAGTAGCATGTTTGCTGTAATGACTATGTATTCCTGTGCCCACGTTAGAAAGTGGTAAAAAAATAATTAGTCAAATGGCTAGGGTAATGTGTTAGATTACTTTTTGTTTTGTTTGAACAAGAATTTTCGGTAAGTCTTCTGTAGGTTCACAGGCGTGTTTGGGGGTTTGCTCACACTCAGGGCAGTCTCTGGTTCCCAGGGCTTGAGTGGAGTGTGGTGTGCCCAGGAGTCCAGGCCTGCTGCTGTGACAGCTGAGGGGCTGACAGGATCATGCTCCGAGTGAGTGCTGGAGGACACCCTGAGTGGAGCAACTTTACCCGTAACAGACCTCCGGGGTGCAATATGAGACTTCCCTTCTCCTGAGCCTCCCTAAGCTATTGAGGCTGTTGGAATTTTGCCGTTTCTCATCAAAGAGAAAAGCATCAGCCTCAGCATCAGGAGAAAATGCTGTCCATGAAGCCTCTCCATGGGACCGAGGCCTGGAGTTGAGGTCTGTTTCTCACCTTAGTAAGAGGTAAGGCAGTAAATGCGGCCACGATAGGTGGGTTTCCTGGGCCATTTTATGAAAGTGTTTCCACTTTTCAGCCTTTCCTGACAACTGTGGTCACCATGCACAATAGAAGTGACAGGAAATGCCCAGTGCCCGAGAGCCACACTGTGTGACTGGCCCAGTACCACCCTGTAAGCTCTTAGGGAGTCCTAATCTGGTGAAGATTTCCAAGGCCAAACCTTTACCACGTCTTGTGCTTGTTTTGTTCTATCAGGGACGTTGTCACCCTGATTAGGAAAAGTATCCACCTAGAGCAAGAAGGTGCTGAATTCCTTTGCTTTTTGGCATAGGAGTGCACCAAGCTGCCAAAGGTCTCCAGGATGTTTACTGTGTCTCCCCACACCTGGAGGACCACGGTCCAGTGAAGAGGACTGTATTTTGGGGTTGGGTGGGGGGTTGGCTGGGCCCACAGGTCTCAGATATCTTTTATACTGTCCATGAGAGTCCCTTTCCTGTGAATAACAGTGGGGCCATTTGGGGGGCCTTTTCTTGCCCCATGGGAAAGATCTGATATAAAACTCAATAATTTTCCATTGATTAGCACCAAAGAGCAAAAGTTTTTCACCGTCTGATTGTAACCATACAGGTGGAAGGCACTGAGAGAGAGCCCATTCGATTTCTGCTTGATTTGATTGGGGTCAAGTCTGATGGAGGAGGAGGGGCCTTTCACACATCGGGGGCCTGAAGGGAGGGGAGGGGAGATTTTTTTTTTTGCAGCTGTACTGGCAGCTTATGCCTGAACCCTTTTTGGTGCACTCTATAGTGAATCACCACCACCAAGGAGGGCAGAAAATTGGGTAATAAAAGTTCCCCTCTGGGGCCAGGGATATAGTTCAGGGGCGCATGACTGCCTAGCAAGTTGAGTCCTGAGTTCAATTCCTGGTACCAAAAAAAAAAAAAAAAAAAAAAACACCAAAAACCATCTATCTCCTTATGATAGTTTACGGGCAATCCACTGGCTGTGAGAGGGTTTCTCTCTCTTTTTCTCTTCCCATACACCTGTGCAGGCTCACAGCGTTAGGAAAGCATATTTTGAATCAGTGTGGATATTGATTTTCTGTCCTTCGCCGAGTTGTAAAGTCACATGAGGGCTACAAGTTCTGCCAGCTGGGAACTCACGCGGTCCCTGCCGAAAACCTCGTCTTTGTCTCATTGTCCAGGAAGGACTTGCCACCACAGAAGAGGCTCAAGTCAGGGTCAGTAGGGCTGGCTAACACCCCTGCTGCCTCCCGAGAATTACCTGCTTGCAGCTGTGTCTTTCAGCCTCGATTTCCTTCTTCCCTGGTAGAGGGTGGCGGGCTTTAAGGACGAGTGTGTCTTCATCTGGATGGCTGTTCCTTCTAGAAGGAGAGCCTGGTATCTGAGAAGCTGCCTGTGTGACGGCCACCGGCTCCCTTTGGAGGAAGTAAGTCCTGTCACCTTACGAGGTGAACATATGCTGAGATCTTTGCCTAAGATCAATTTGGATGCCTCTGGCATCAGAAAAGCCCCGTGACCACAGCCCTAAGGCAGGCAGGCAGGCCATCCCTTTGCTGCAATGTCTAATTCATGATTCAGATACCCCGCAGGCTTTGGGGCATCCCTGATCCTGCCTAAGCACTCCCAAAGCTGTGGTCTGCCATTCATCATCGCTGAAACACTGGCCTGTCATTATACTCAGTGCAGGGGCATTTAGGACCATTTGTGTCAGCTTCTAAATGCAATTTGGGAACCAGGTTCCAGGTTAAAATACGGGTGTGTGTTTCTGAGCTTCCCTTACCATCTGGTAAAGAGGTTGTGCAATGTCACTATATCCCACTCTCCAAAGGCAGCAAAAGCCTTCAATTCCTAGAATTCTCTTAGCCATGTTAGGGTGTTGGGCTGTGAGAAGAAAACTACAAGTTCAATTCTTTCCTCTGTCTTTGGGGTCCTTTAGATATGATAAAACCCACGTACTTTACCTCAAGGCTGCAAAGTTGTGCCTTTGACTTAGAGACCCTGTAACCTCTTCTAGAAAGTTCAGCGGGTCGTGGTTCCTGGCTGGAGCACTCTTCTGAGGGAATGTAGAGCGGTACCTCATCTGTATATTGCAGGAAAATTCAAAACAGGCTGAATCATGGGAAACTACTTGTGCATAAAGACGAGGATGCCTCTGAACCCTTGAAGCAGCACAGACCGAGTTAGTTGAGAGGCCTGGTCTCGGGGACTTTCAAAGGCAAAAAGAAACTTGGAATCTGGATGTAAAGGGATGTACAAAAGAAGGCCTCTTCTAAGTTACACACTGTGATCCTCGGGATCTGGGAAAAAGGGTATGCGGGCTGGATACCAGCAGGTGGACGGGTACCCGACCTCCGCTGGCAATCTAAGGTCCTGGCCAACCTGCACTCCGCACTGAGTTTTTGGGCTCCCAAGACTGGAGTGGAGCAGGGGCTGCTACAGGCTGTAAGGAAACCTTGTGCCCTTAAGTCGCCATGGACCTTTTAAACTTCAGGGATTAAAAGATAGTGTCCTGGGAAGGAAACCCAGCAGAGTCTTTACGGCGCATTAGCACTGAGGCAACTCTGAAGTCCTCTCCGGATTTTACGCTTAGTTGTCATACTTCAGGGTCTGTTTTGGTCTCCACAAGTGGGAGGCAGTATACGTGACAGGGCTGCAGGAATATTGCAGGTATCCCTTCCCAAAGCGGAAACTGGACTTTGAGGTGTGATCAAAAAGCAATCGGACGAGAAAGCCATCCTAGTAGAGAGAAATAATGAACCATTTTTGTTGGGGTCTGTACCTAGATCCCCAATTCTCCAAATGGGTGCATGGTGAAAGCTCAAAGGAATGAGACACGCGGCATGATCTCCAGGGCTGCAGGAGGAGTGAAATCCTCGGCAGAGCTTGTCGTAACCCTGCTAGCCAGCAGCCCACTGACACTAGGCAGCCCGTATTTAATCCGAACAAGCAAGGAGTTGAGTGGAAAATGCAGGAAACCTGAACAGGGTCTTGGGTGGGGTTCAAGGACCCTCAGAGCAACAGATGATGCTAATTTAGGAAAACTATCCAGAAAGGCTCCAGGTAGCCTCAGCTGTGGCCTGTCTTGTCCCCTGAGCTGTCTCTTCATTCTCAATTGAGTCATGCCAGGGCCACGCCACAGCCCTACACGTGTACTCAGCCTCAACATTCTCCAGCACATCCCCTCCCCAGTGGCTCTTGTCCCTGAGCCATGACAGCTGAAATGGAGGCCAGGGCCAAACAAAAGAACCCAAGACTGACGCAGGCGGTTAGCAACAGGCTGGCTCTTTCCCCTCCCTAGTCAGGGTTCCCCAGGGCTCCCCTGTGGGGATGAAAGTCTGACCGGCGCAGCCCCAATGAAACAGGAGACAGGAGACGCTCTTGTGGACGACAGTTAACTGCTAGTTTATTTACGCGGGCTCTGGTTTATATATTTGGCCGTGACCAATCACAGGCTGCCACGAGGAAGCAGGGCGGGAATGGGATGCAGGCTCTGGCTACTATATCCAGCTGTGGCCAATCAGGAGTTGCCACAGAGTACGGAGTAGAGCGCGGGGTGCGCACGGGTTGGCTAATTTAAAGAGGGACATAGCGCATTGCGGAAGCTGGCGTGGTCCTTAGTCCCGGCTGGGGTATGGTATGTTGAGCGCCTGCGCCCAACAAAGGTCCAGCCAGAGGGAGAGGGCCAAGAATCCCTTGAGCCTTTGTCTTGCGGGACCTGCCGGTAAGTAGGGTCTGACCCCAGGACCTTTGTCTCGAGGGGCAGCTGGACTTCTGGTGGTCACCACTGCACTGGGAATACCTTAGGGGCCTCTCGTTTGCTGGTTCTCATCACGTTCCCTTCTGAATGGCCTGGCTTCCTGCAGCCATAGCAAGTGGGCTTAGCATCAAACTGTGCTTGGAGCCCCAGAAATCGGACTCAGAGCCGCAACCAAGGCAGCCGCTTTCTCTTGGAGTGTTTTCTCTTCCCAATCTCGATCATAAAATACCAAGGTGCAGCTCTCACCAGAGCATCAGGTGAGCTGCCCAGAGCAGAAGCCATCTTTTGTAGCTTTGTCGGGGTGTCTAAGGCTGACTAGGTAACGAATTTGTCTTTAAGAATAACCTGTCCTTTGTTTACAGGAGGCCTTGGTAAAGTCTACAATCTGAGGAGGCAAAGGGCTCTCATCTTTTTCCTAGTGAATACCTGACAATTTAAATCAGGGCCATCCCTGCCTGACAGCAGTTAAAGTCCATCTAACTTGGTGTCCGTGATGCCGCAGGGGGCCCAGTAGCTGTTTCTACTTCCTGCCCTGGCTCTGCCACCCCAGGGATCCCGCCTTCCCGGTCCATCCTCCTGCTCCCCACCAGGCCGTCCATAGTATCGTGCGTGTGTCATTAATCACACGCGTCACTGCTGGGCACCCCTGGTGCCAGGTGGCTCCAGGGGCTTCCAGACTTCAGCGAGCCAACTCCTTGGTTGGCCTCCGGGAGGAGCCTGTGCCTCTGCCTTTCTGCCACGCCCCCAGGTAAGACCAGCCTGTCACTTGGGGGCCCACAACTGAGAAATGAAGCTGTAGCCACAGAGAGGCCTCTCAGGTATCACTGCAGGGGTGGAGAGAGCAAGTGCCGAGGAGCTCCTGCATAGGAAGGTGAACCCCCACTCCCCATCATGGGGTTCATACCAGGTCCCCTTGGTTTGAGAAGCATCACCTGCCCTAGGAAGGCCACTCCACATGGCCTAGGGATCTTTGTGACCTCCCTCATCTCCTCCCCTAACCCCTATGTAGGGGACTGCTCGCAGATCTGTGGGGTATCCAGGGCCCCCTCAGAGGAGGGCTCATTCCAGAGCTGTCTACCCACTGGGGCTTAGCACTGAGGAACCTCCCACCCCCACCGCATCTGGGTGCTGACCACAGCGGAGCCCTCTGCAGAGAGGCCTTAGCCTGTGACCATTCCCTCTGCAGACCTCAGTTTCCCCATCTGTGATGTGCAGGCGAACCAGAACTCTCTAAGGCACCTGACCCTGTACTCACTGATTCTGTTCAGGCTCAGAGCAGGGGAGGGGGAGGCCGGGCAGAGGGTTGCCAGCCTCCCTGAGGACACACACACCTGCCTTCACAGCCTCTGTGCACCACACAGAGAGTTCCTGGATATTTTTAGGACAGTTGGCGCCTCCTGGGCTGTAATTCATGAACACAGCTGACAGAGATCAGCACCCTTTGAAATTGGTGGGAAGCTGAGAAGCTGCTGGGTGTTGCTGAGCTTGCACAGGGAGTGGGGAGTGTTAGAGAGGGGCAGAGGGGGCAGAGGTCAAAGTGGGAGGGGTCTAACGGAGGGGATAAGGGGGCAGGGGAAGAGGGAGGGTCACAGGAGGGAGGCTGTGTGGCTAGGGTGGGTGGGGTAGAAAAACCCAAAGCGTCCCCCATGGCAGCTGTACCCTTCCTGCCCAGCTAGGTGGAGGATGTGTTTCCAACACGTCAAGCGCTGCTGCTGCTGCAGAAGCCAGCTAGCTGGGCGCCTGCTGAGTTAGAGTCTGACGCCTCTGTCTACCTGGAAACAGCTTCCCACCCCTGGGCTTGATCCCACAAAGTGGTCCCCACGTCAAATGCCTCTGCCCCTCTGCCGACTGACTGAACAGAGGTCCTGCGCCCCTCCTCTTCAGGGTCAGCCTGCTGGAAAGGCCCACGGGGGTCAGAGATGCTTTATCATGTTTACCCTTCATCAGAAAGGATGGAAGACAGGTGCAGGGCAAGCATGTGGGGAGGACCACACAGCTTCGGTGCCCTCCTGGTACCTGCTCAGCAGCCTGGAAGCTTCCAAACCTGGTCCGAGTGGGGCTCCAGGGAGGCCTCCCCCCAAGGTGTGATTGATTAACTCTTTGGCCCTTGGTGATCAACTCATCCTTCAGAGGTTAGGGGTCCCCCCCAGAGGTTAGGGTCAACCTCTACCCCGGGTCTTTCTGGTGATCAGCCCCCATCCTGAAGCTCTCTGGGGACCCTGTCATCTCATTAGCACAGGAAGCACATTCTTAGCTGGGGAGGCAACAGTAGGAGGGGTCCCAAGTCGGAGTGCAGCCTTGACAGTGTAGCGGTTTGGAAAGACCTGCCTCCAAAAAAGAAGAAGAAAGACAGCACTCTTAACACTCTGGTGACTCTAAGGATTTGAGAGGTCTGTGCCAGGAGGCGGGAAGAGGCAGATGTATGGAATTTTATTAGGCTACAGGATCATGGCAGGGCCTGCATTTTGGGGTGGGGTTAGTGCTCAGGGGAGGAACAGGAGCATTCGGGGGACAGAGACTCTGCCCCTCGGACAGCCCTTCAGGGCCTCTTTTGCTCATTCCTATAACACCACGGAGGCCCTACTGAAGCCGGCCCTGAGTCATGTGGCCCACTTATTCCCTGCTCCTTGGCTTGTGCTGCCCCCTTACCCTGCCCGTGTGCAGCAGGCACCTGCACTGTGCAGGTCCTCAGTGAGGCACTGGCACAGAGACTACACGGGGGCGGGGGGTACCTGCCCTTAGGCTCCCCGCAGGACAGCTAGGACGGCCGGGAAAGGGCTGGGAACCGGACAGGAGGAGCAGCAGAGCTGAGCCATCAAGGGCAAGCAGGAGCACGTACGGGGCTGGGGACCTCCAGAGACAACCAGGAGACAGTGATGGTTCAGACCAGGCCCCTGGCATGCCGGGGTACAGGCATGCCCCAGCCCAACACACCCCTCCTGGGGGCTCCAAAGAGGCCCTGCGGCCCAGTGTCCTCACCAGACACCCGCACCAGTCCTGCCCCGCAGCTGCTGCCCCCGTCACCTTCACGCCAGCTACCCTCACTGGCTCTCGGCCCACACCCCTAGGCCCCACAGCCCCAGGAATGCCAGTGCCGAGTGGCTTCCTGTGCCACCCTCCTCTGTTCCTCCACCCTGAACTTGGAGGAGGCTGGGGTGCAGGCAGGAGCTGGATCCACTCTGACAAGAGGCTCCTTCTCTGGGTCTCAGCCTCCTGCTCCTCCATCTAATTAGTATTAAGTGGGAATAATTTCTCTCCTGCCCACCTTGCCGACACTGTAATGGAAGTCTGACCAACACCAAGGTGCCCCTCCTGCTGGAGTTTCAGTGAGAACAGGGCGCCCCATCCATTGCCCGGCTGCCAGTCCACTGGCCGCCCATGCCATAGGGCTCTCGGCCCAAGTGGCCTCAGGTGGCCTCAGGCCCTGCCAGCTGCCTGCTCCGCCATGAAGGGTGGAGGGCTGGTCCGGGGCCCTGGAACGCTGGCCGCTGTGAACTCTGGAACTTCCTTCCTTGTTTCCTTTCTCTGGCCTGCGCTCTGAGTTACAAAACTGACCCCAGAGCCAGCATGGCTGTGCCCAGGTACAAAAGCTGCCGAGTCTTTGTGGGGCTCACAGTTCCCCCACCATCTAAAGGCAGGAGACCTGAAACAACCTGATGAAACTTTGGAAGGCCAGTGCTAAAACCACCTTAGCTTTCAAAAAGTGTAAATCAGGCCACCTGCAGGGAGCAGGGGTCCCAATTTTGTACCCCTGGTGTTACGGGAAGGCGGGTTCTGAAGGATTTTCAGCCTTCGATCCTGCATAGAGACCCACTGCTAACTAAACGGGCTGCCACACAGAGGGCTTGGGAGCAGAGGACACCAAAGATGCCACTAGGTTCTTGGGTGCTGCAGACTCCTAAAGGTGATGTCTAGGTTCTTGTCACCCTGAAGAAAAAATTGGCCAATATGAACACAAAAGGTAGTGAGGTTTTACACTTATTAAATGTGCTAAAGGTAAGAAAAGAAACAGGCTCTGCAGTGGGACAGGTGAAGGGAGAGAAGAATGAGCTAGAGTGAGGGCCAGCTACTGAAGAAACGATCACGGTGCAGTGGGGTTGGGCAGTCCCTCGTGTATCCTCCATTTGACCTCAGATCTAGGCCATCTTTCAAAGACCTGCTTCATTCCATGCCAGAAGTGCAGGTAGGGCTGTGGCTTGTGTCTAGATGTCCCCCAAAGCCTGACACAGTCGTAGGTGGGGCTTTCTCAGAAGTGGCTGGCGTTAAGGATGGGGATGACCAAATTGGCCCACTGATGGGTTTGGCACCGCCCCAATCCCGGTAAACTAGACAGAACATAAAAGGCGCAGAAGCTGTTAGGGTCCTTTGCTGCTTTTGCTGTCTGGGGGGCGCCATGAACTGTTTGCTGTGCCACTCTGCCAATTGTGGACTGAAACCTCCACAGACTGAGCTAAATAAACCTTCCCCCCTTTAACTTTGGGTGTCGGGTGTTTTGTGCCAGCAACAAGAAGAGCAGCTAAGACCAATCCCAGGCCCAGCTTGGCCCCCGTGCAGCGGGGCACCGTGTCCTGGCTCTCCTGACACACAGCTTAGGCCCACTCACCTGGCCACTTTGCCACCAGCTAAGGAAAGTGCTCTGGAGGACAGAACTGTATGTGTACAAGACAGATGGCCATACTACTAAGATCTGATCATCAAACAGAATAGTTTGTACTCTCATTGTGTCCTCTTTTTATGCTTTGATAATTTTGTAACTTGAACAATTATTTCTAAGATAACAATATGTAATTTATCAACTAGTGATTTCTTACTGTTTTTTTTAAAATTCTGTATTATTTCTAGCTTTTTTTCTGTTTAGCTTTTTTCTCAAAAAAAGGGGGGTGGGGAGCTTGGGGATTTAGCTCAGCAGCATAAGCTCCTGCCTTGCAAGCAGGCAGTTGTGAGTTTGATCTCTGGTACTGATTAAAAAAAAAAAAAGAATTTTACAAGAAAGGAAATCCTGGGGGACAAAGAAACACAGAGCCCACCCAGTTTGGGAGTTCTGAAAGGAAATTCCCAAGTTGGGAGCTGCCAGGAACTCAGAAAGTCAATGTAGATCTTTCCATAACTCTGATTTTAAAGATATGGAGAAAAAGACTGTTACTTCTCGAGATGAGAGAGAAGGCAGAACAGAGGCAGCTGGGAGAGAACACTGGGGCATCACTGCCAAAATGTGCCCCAGGCAAAGGAAAGGGCTGCAGCCTCAGAGAAAATGAGGGCAGGCTGGATCAAGACTGCAGACCAACGGACAAGACTGAGAACCAAAGCAAAGTCACTCCCTGGTATTGTGTCACCAACGAGAAACAAAGCTCCTTCTGAGAAATGCAGATTGGAGAGATAAGACCCACACTTTCCCACACAGGCCACCTTCCGTCAGAATGAAGATGAAGTTCCCTCCCCTAATGCTTCCATAGGACGAAAAAGAACTCGAACTAACCCCATAACTAACTAGTTAGCGTCAGGGCATTTGTTCTGTTGCCCGTGTCCACCTTACAAGGAGAGTAACTTTGAAAGGACCAGGCTGCTTTCCGGCCTTCATTTCTGCTCTTTTCAGCTGTTCTTGGTCTATAAAATCAACTTCCCAGTCAACCCATTGAAACAGTCATTCCATTTGGTGGTGTGAAGTGTTGCAAGACTCTAGAATGGAAAACAAAGCTCATTAAGAGCTTTGAACTGAAATGCTATGGTGTGGTCCTGTGGCAGCCAGCAGGAGGGTCTCTGGGACCTCAGGTCCACATCTCTCTCTCTCTTGGGCCCTGGTGCAGTGTCCTGGAGCTCACTGCTGGGGGCCCACGTGAACGATGTCCATGTAGCCATCGTGTTACATACGGAAGCTGTGTTGGCGTCAGTTGTCGACAAAGCCAGAGGACATGCCTTACTTACCCATGCTGTCTTCCTGGTGGAGAAAGAGGACTTGGTAATGCATTGGGCAAGGGTAAAGAAGCTCATCTTGTCAAATAAGACAGCAGATAAACGCAGGGTGAGGAGCACTGGGGCAGAAACCACCTCCTCCTTACAAAGGGTGAGGTGCACAGCAGGGTCCCAGAAAACTAGGAAAAGCAGCATGGCAGAGCTAGGGGAGCTGGAACGGACACTTTTCTGTAGCAGGAAGTGAGTAGATACGGCCCAGCGTGACACACCGTGGAAAGAAAGGTCTGAACACTTTTAGACTGTGGTGCGGAGCACTAGAACTAGAAACAGACCTGGCCCTTTCCTCCTGCTGGTGGGGCCAGGCGGCATGGAGACCGGCCTCGGAGCCAGCTCGTTCTCTACCCCCTGCATCTTTGTGAGCATCCGC